AAAAAAAAAAGAAAAAAAAAAGAAAAGCATCCAAAAACCAGAGCATAGAATAAGAGAGAAACCTGCTCGCCATCATCGACCATCAACGACCATCATCATCATCAAATTCACCGTGAGGTCACTAGCAGGCCGCCCTCGCCACCATCATCATCTTCGCACGGCCATCACCTTCATCATCATCAAGCTTCAACCCCATCGCGAGTACCAGAACAGAGAACGCCATCATCATCCATTACGGGAAGCACCATCATAAACCTTTGTGGGTCTGTTGTTACCGCTGCTTATCGTCATCACCATCATCGCGAAGTTCTGAGTTCACCACCAGCAGTTCCCTGTTCCCGTGCGCAAGCCCCGGCAGGTTTCCGCTTTCCGATCATACTCCAGCCCCGTTGCTCGTGGCCACTGTTCGGGCTTTCCGACGACCACCACTGTGCCAGTATCATCTCGGCGGTGTCCCAGCAGCACCCTGAGCGAGCCGAAGCTTAGCCGTCGAGCCCCGCCGGCACTCGTGGATCGACCGTCAAGTCCCGTTTCGATTCTTTCGTTCGCGTTTTCTCGAGAACGGTACCTAGGCTCGAACCCCGTCTCGTTTAATTTCATGATTGTGTTATTGTAATTTATTACGTGTCAATGTGCTGATCGTGTGAATTACGAGTTAATTACGTGCCTTGGATATGTGTTTGTATGGACTTTGATATGTATATGCGATTTAGATATCAAAGTGATTGCCGTCACTGTGGTTATTTATCGAACTGAGTTTGAAGTAATATTTTTCGTGGAAATCCTAGAGTTATAGGTACATGGAGTTGTCCTTGATTTATTGGTTTTGGTTTGGGGTCGTTTCGAAGTGTATATGCCGAGTTATGAATTTTCTAAATCGAGTATGCTGCTGAATTGTAATTAATTCATGATAAATCGTGTGATTGTCTGAATGCCGTTAAAGTTTATTTGTGATCTTCTGTGATGGTTTTGTAAGTTGTGTAAAATTTTCAAGTCGAAACTCCATCCGTAGCTATTTTAATTAATTGAATCGGTTTCTGGTATGAATTTTGTAAAATTCATTTAAAATCGTACACAAAGTGTTTTGTGCTGAAACTTTGAGTAGTATTTTATTTTGTGGTAATCTGTGTTGTGTCAAAAGTTTGGATTAAAATTCGAAGTGTAACTATATGAACTATTAATGTCGGGTTTTGACACTATTTTTGCTTAAATTATTTAAAAATGCTCCCAGATGAATTTAGGGCTGAAACTTGGTGAGATTATGTGTTTTTGTATGCCTTGTGATGTGGTAAAGTTTCATATTGATTGGTTGAGACCAAATCCGGATTCTGAATTTTATTTATTTTGGAGTCTTAATGCTCGGTTATCCGTTGTTT